GAACGTTTGTCGAGGGATTGACTTCACTTGTCTCTTTGACGAGTTCGTAGCTTGGTGCGGAGAATGGCAACATTTATTGAGGATGCCAACTACGATGCCGGCGAAACGTTTGAGAATGTACCAAGTCCACTGTCTGATGCTGGGAATCATAAAAACTACTATGGCAGATGACTTCGGACTAGGTGCGTTCTACTAAACCGCCCTGATAACAACACCAACCAACAAGGTCAACCCACTTCTATTAACTTATTTCTACCTTTCTAGCCATCCCAAAGCATATTCATCACTAGTTCGTGGTCGTTACTTATGAGGTAATCAAATTATGTTTATTAGTAGCAATATTTACGCCTTGGGTAGTGTGAATTCCGGGCTCAGTTACATTATAGTTAATACAGCCATTTGGTAAAAGCTCCTGATTTACTAACATTATCTTTCTTCATTAAAACAATGCGCTTCGCAAATAGTTTGTTAGCATAAAATACGTTACCTCTTCAAACTATTTGAATAGTGTTGAATTAGTATTGCATACGCGTGTCTCTATCCTGAGCTTGATCATGCTTTTTTAATTATACCAATTCGCTAAAACTCACAAGTGTCCTTTATTTGGTCCCAACTCAGCCGTTCAACACCCACGTGGACCAAGGAAACCAAAAGTGAAAATCAACAATTCGGCCGTTAGCAGGTCTGACCAGAATCCGGCTGGGCCGAAATTGATTCGTTACGGTCTCTTCGAGAGGGCAGAAATGGCAGTACCAAATGCAAATCAGAAGAGAGCAGCTACCTCAACTGAAGATAATGGCGAGGCTACCGGGCCTGTCGAACGAGAACCGATTTCTCCAGATTTTCCAGAGGTGCTAAAGCTCGGTTTTCCTACGAGTGTCGTTTCCAACTTCATAACGTCAAAGGCCGAACAAGCTGTTAATGAGGCTGTGCCATGGCTGCCCTTCCAGCCTCCATTGCAACTACCTCTTTCTTTGTCTCTATCGGCTCTCTTGTCAATAGCTTGTTTTTCATCGCATATTTTGCCATGTACCTCCCAGGTACACAGTGAACCATCATTATCATCGCCATCATCATTCTCAACTTTTCCTTACTTTTCCTCCTCCTCCTCCTCCTCCTCATCATCATCATCTTCTTCTTCTTCTGCTGCTGCTTCTTCTTCTTCATGTTCCTGTTCCTGCTCCCCCTCATCTTCATCAGCCCCCTTCCTCCACAATGCCACACTCGAGTGGCTTAGCCAAATGCCTTCTGTTCGCGATTCGAAAAAAGACGAAAGTGGTCTGGAACGTGGAGAAAAAGGACAGACTTGTCAAAACGAAGGTGAGCTGGCCAAAGAGGGAGATGAAAAAGCATATTTGAGACGAAGTGAGACAGGGAAATTGGAAGAATTACAACAGGATACGAAAATGACCAGCGTTTTACCACTACATGAGACTTCCTTTTTAAGGTCGCCCAACTTTAGCCCAACTGCATTGAATCAGACGACTAACTGTTCAGTCATCGAGCCAACTTTTAACTTGTCCGGCACACCTTGGCTAGGCAACACCTCTTTGCATGCGAGCAAACTTCCGCCAATTGAGCCCTTAAGATCTGGAGTTGAGAAGTCATCCAGGCAATGGCAGCCTAAAGGGCCGGTGCTTGATCGGTCTCCAACACCCTTCCTCCAGGCTGGTCAGACACATACAGGCTTTTGGAGTTGGGCTCATCTATTTTCCGGTCTTAGTTCGATCCTGAAGGCCAGTTCAGATATCTCTATGCTCAAGTCGGCAGAGCTTCAACCGTCAACTCGACATTTTGCAGAGTATGACAGAAAAGTCATCTCCAACATACCCGACGGTCAGAGAGGGCTGGTTGGCTTGCACACACACACACCGGCTGTGGACGTGGAGAGGGGGCAGCAGATCCTGAAGAGTTCTAGTCATGCAACGAATCATCTCTCAACAATGTCTCAAGAGGATGACAAGACAGTGAATTGGCTTGGCCAATTTCACGAGGCCTCTGTACTTCAGCCGCCAATAACCACTTTGAATACAGACTTTGCTGTGCAAGCAAACCCGAATCAGATGTCATCGGTCATTTGGTCGCCTGTTTCACCTTCATCAAGTCAAGCTCAGTTATTGTCATTTGAAACCTCTCACAGTTGCCCAAGCTTTGCTTGGCCGGACGAATCACGCGCCTTAGGAGACATCTCGGTTGCCATGACACCAAATGTCTGGCAGCCTATCGATGAGGGTCAGAAGCTGGGGACGGAGGCCTTGAATCTGGTGGTACGAAAGAAGCCAGTTCATCTAAATCAGGAGCAAAATTCCGTGATCTTCGAGACACCATTACCA